TCTCGCGTGAGTTTGTGGTGTGGTGGTCTCCCGCGGGGGGGGGGGGGGGGGGGGACACCCATCTGTGGTGTGGGTGTCCTTCTGGGGTGGCAAGGTCAAACGATATGACCGGGTAATAGGGACCAATGTGGGTCTGCGGGCAATTTAATTACGTCCCGGAGGTGGTGTATAGCGGCTGGGGGCATTCAGGTATAAAATGTGCCTGCAGATACTGGTCTGTGTATATATAGAGTTATAGGGCCTTCAAGGACCTTGAAATCAAACAATTTTGTAAACAGTACAGGTATTGGTTGTTGTTGTTTTTATTCATAACGTTTTGTAATAAAAGGCTGCTGTGGCCATTTAAATTCCACCTTTCGTGTAAAGTATTATTTGGTTAGGGTTGGTATTGGGTTTCTGGTAAAGGCGTTTAGTTAAAGGGGACTACACTCACTCCTCCACAGCATCTATTTTGAAGCAGTATTGTCCCACTAGGACAGGATGACAGAACACCCCCCTTTCCTGAGTCTGTACACCTGCTGCGCCCATTATGAGGGGCTCCCACCATCCCTGTGCTGAGTTCCTGGGTCTGTACACCTGCTGTGCCCATTATGAGGAGCTCCCACCATCCCTGTGCTGAGTTCCCGGGTCTGTACACCTGATGTGCCCATTATGAAGAGCTCCCACCATCCCTGTGCTGAGTTCCTGGGTCTGTACACCTGCTATGCCTATTTTGAGGGATTCCCACCATCCTTGAGTTGAATTTCCGGTTCTGTACACCTGCTGTGCCAATTATGAAGGGCTCCCACCATCCCTGCACTGAATTTATGGGTCTGTACACCTGCTGTGCCCACTTTGAGAGGCTCCCACCATCCCTGCTTGATTTTCCATTCATTTTATATTAAGGGGAATGTTACAGGGGAAGCTTAGACACACAATGCTGGGTGGGAACACCCCAAACTCCCAGGTAGGTAGAGAATTTCCAAGACATAACAAGAGGGCTGACTAAGCCAAGCAAGTTCCACCTATAGCTAAAATCGCCCATTTGAGTGGACTGACACTTTAAAATGCTGGTAACTGTGCCAGTGGAGAGACATTTAGGACCTGTGGGTGTACTCACTGAGAGAGGAAATCTGCTGCAGATTGTGGAAGTGATAGTTCTCATATTCTTGCTGCTTCTTCTTGGCCATTTCTTGGGTCACGGTGCACCTGTCACACAGTCCGGCTCTCAACCTGAATAACAAAAGAAGAAATGGCCATGATGAAATCACTTGCCATGAATAATAATAAATATACGGGGAGGGAGCTCTGCTATGTAGTTATGGTTGGAGGTCTGTGGAATTGGTACGTTTCTGGGCATCATTTTATCATTAGAATGCATTTCCTCTGTGCCAAAATGAATGTTCTGAGTGTTATAAACCTGAATAACTTCTAATGCATTTTTAAATACTTAGTTAATTTCTCTTTTCATTCCTGCGGTGACATGGAATGTAGGAAAGTCCCGGATCAGACTCAGTTCTCACCTGTTCTCAAGCACTTTAATATTTTCATTGAGGACTTTGTGCTGTTCTCGCAGTAAGTGGTTCTTAGAGAACAGCTCCTCCAGCCTCTGAGAGTCACTAAAAGGTACAGAGGAAAAAAAAAGAGAAAACATTGCAAACAGCTCAAACATTTCACAAGTCATGCAGATGAAATTGTCCACGGATATTTTTCCCCATGCAGGGGACATGGCTACTATGGCCATGAGGTACTGGTAAGACATTGGGAATGAATTAGCTGGCACTGGCATCCATGTGCTTTCTTTGCTCTTGCATGGTATACTGTACACCGGCGCTATTACTTCTACAGCAGAAAAATCGATGGCGGGCAACAAATCCCATGCCATTCTATCTTCGAATTCGACATAATTTACTGCTTTCAAATTAGGCAGTCCTTTGACAATGCTTCCGGGTGAGGCCGCTGCTTCTTGCTACCTTGTTCTGAAAAGATATTGGCAGTCTGATGGATTTAACTAGCAGACAGCCAGTTGCAGAAGATCAATGAAAAAGCTGGATTCGGCTCTGAGGGTTGTGTCCCTCGAAGCAGTTTAAAACGTGATGTTTACCTTTAAAAATGTCTTTCTGCACATACAAGCTCTCATATTCAGCATGGGTCCCCTGTTCTCATCATCATCCCTGCCTACCTTTCTACCTACCGTCTATTTTCATGTGGTATCCTTTAAGAGTAGCAGGAAATAAAAATGTCAGCACAGCTCTTGACCCCTACCCTAGCTGGCTCTTGGACTCCATTGTTGGGAATGTGTTTTATAAGAGCACGTTGAGAAGGGAGCAAACCTGATATCAAGAGGTTGTTGAGAGGCAACCAAAGGTCTGCTTTAGGAGACACAACATGAGATATCATTGTAAATAAGTCTGCGGCTACAAGTAATGGAGAAATCAGGGGGGAGGAGCTGTGACCCCTCTGTTCTGCAATAATTATAGCTTGGGACAAGTGCTGCTTGACAAGAGTAGTCCATTAATAGCTGAGGGTAACAGCATGATTGCTGTTCAGGGTGAAAGCCTTCACCAATGACTTTCACCCTGAATGTGTTCATTTGGATGGAGTGATCCTTTAAATGATCCTATTAAAAAGAGCCATTGTGAAGGTAAAGCCAGGTAAATAAGCTTTAAGTACATGAAGCGGAGAGCAGTTGGTGTATTGCTGTTTATTACTACACACTGACCATCTGTCAACTTGTTTTCAACTCACCGGCATCTCTCCATTGTCATCTCTGTAAGATTTTCCTGCATTCCTGCAACAAAACAAGACACGTCCATTAACTCTTCCAGCAGCTCCAAGTGCTGGCTTCCTGGCACTGAATAAACAATGTATTAGCTTTGCCTATGTGTTGTCGCACCTTATCTGAGAATGTACCACAAACCAAAGGCATTATGAAACAATATGGTTCAGTCACGGTTCTACGGATCGTTCTAACTCTCCTGACATAGGGACTGAGCCTCAAGTATCTGCACGGTGTACAAACATGCATGCTTTGCCAGTACCTACATGCATGCCCATTCATCCACCGTTCTGAAGAACGATCAGCTGTTGGAGGTTATCAGATTGGGTAGTTTTACATCTAGAGCTTTCCATAATCCAGGTCACATGTTCCAGTTCAGGCAGCACATATCCTAAATGCCTCCAGTGCAGGAGAACAGGTAAAGGTGGAGGCTTATTTCAGATCCTCTTACATGTTTATCAAAGGAGTGGTTAATAATTATTCTAACAGCACAATTGCTGCAAGCAAGAAAGAGATTGCTGCTTTTCAAACAGTGTTTGTGGTTAAAACTAACTGAAAGTGATGTTACGCTAATAAGTGGGAGCTTTGGAGACAGGACAAAGCTTTTCTTTCAACATCTTAATAGACCCAAAAATTCTTTAACATTGGACCCACTGTAAAAAGATACGTTGCAGGATGGCAGAGAGGTTGAAACTTTCCCAGCTTTTCAGCCACCACTTGACTTTGTGCACTCATTGCTGTATCCTATCACTATTCAGATTCTGAGGGTTCTGTCTTTCTGTCAACATTTGGGAAAAGTAGGAGGGCCCAGCGGTATACAGCAAAGAGAAGACTAACGAAGAGGGAGAAACAGAGTTACACTATTTATATAGGCATTGCCCAAATGGACCTCTATACCCCATCCCTCCTGTAGATCATGGGCCAGCATGCTTTTTCCTGCTACTTTGTTCCTGCACAACATTTATTACTTCCTCGGAATCACCAAGCCAGTAAAATTCTAGGAGGTGCAGCTGCTACTGACATAGCCACACCACCAGAACTACATCGTCCAAGAGCCATTAATATAGTGTGTGGGCAGGCTCTTGTGAGTCATGACATCAACATTATTTTGATAGGAAATAGGAAATAGTCCAGCAGGCAGAGCTACGATGCTGGTTTGGATTTCAAAGCAACCAATCAGCTTATCTCTTTCATTTTCAAATTGTAACTGAACAAACTAAATAGAGAAGCTGATTGGTTGCCATGCACCGCTGCTCCAGATTCTGTCTGCTCCAGGTTGATAAATTCCACTCACTGTGTTGTCAGCCCCAGCAATAAATTAGGAGTACATTTGATTTCCTGTAGATAAACAAGTATTTTTCTCTACTTGCAGTCATTTTAAAGGATGAATGGGGAAATGAGTGTGTATCATGGAGATGTACTGATAATTGTTTTTTTTTTAACATTTTACCATGACATACATTTTGTACCTGGTATGATCCTGGCATACATTTTAAATAAATGGAGCCAATGAGGAGTGTGCAGGCAAAATATAGGCCTCTTTGGAAGCTCAAGCCAGGAGATAGGAAAGAGAAACATTGACTATAGATAATGATAACTACAAGCAGGAGGCTAACAATCATACTGGTGAAAATAGTATAAATGGGCAATAATTATATATCAATAATTAATAAATTAATTAAAAATAGTGTTTTATGTTATATTTATTCATGGAAAATTACTGGCAAAGTGGGACTGCATTTTAATAATGTGTGGATCATAATAACAGCTCATAAGGCTGTTTCCCAATCTGAAGCTCAGTGTTGTTGGTGGAAACAGCTTATAATATCGCAATGTGTTAACTTCTCTGTCCAATGCATTGCTAGACGTCTGCTCAGGCTCATTAAGTCTAAAATATGCAATGCGGTAACAATTCAGGCCCATGTGACAAACCCGTCTGTCGAGTTTCTGCCCTTGTACGCAACTCAAACAGGTATTTGCACTTCAACTTAAAACTGTGTTTGTGTTATAAGAAAAAAGGTGACATTGAGGGAGGTCCAAAATGCCTGTTAAATTTCAGATACCATCAGCTGGTAGTAGACCAACAACCTCGTTTTACTAAAGGTCATTTAAAGGGTTGCTACATGTTAGTCACAAGCCGCCTTATTAAGATAGGCAAGGTCAGGTTCATCTTCAAAACCTAAAACAGTGCTATAAAGCAGGGACACTCTCCTGCCCTTTACCAGTCTTCTGATCCATGTGTTCCCATGGAGCCCACTTGGATCGAAGGCTAGGCTATACACAGGGTCTCAACTAGGGTTGCCACCTTTTCTTCCATCGAAACCCAAACACTCTAGTGACGCACATACATTTTTTTGGGCAGAATGATTTGCGGCTTGTTCATATGTAAATAGCACCACCGATTCATATATACATATCACAGTCAAGACTATTTTCAGTGGGGGGGGCCAGTAGCCCCTATCTTAATTTTGGTTGCCCATGTCTGCCTGACATCTTGTGTCCCGGTTTCAGCTGCCATGAAACCCGGACACAGCATTTAAAAACCCGTCATGTGACAGTTGAATGACATGGGGTGGGTTTAGGGACATGGAAGCTGCTACTGCCATAAATGCTAGTTGCCTGTCTGTGTTAATACATTTGAGTCGCTGGCCCAGAACAGGCATACAGACAGGGACTTTTCTCTGTGTCTCCTAGTCTGCCTAATCTGGCTTAGCGACACTGAAGCCAGAGAAAATCAGGCAACAGGGAGGACTGGCTAAGATAAAATAATATATGTTGGGATGGTGGCGCTAAGTACATATCCTCCACCTACCACTCACCTCCAAAAAGACGTCAAATAGAGGGGGGACCTGCAGTCAATGACAGTTGAAGAGCAATAAATGGCTATCTGCTCCTTGTTCAGACCTACTATCACAGCACGTAGAAGGGGGATGTCTTCCAACATCTTAGCCCAATGACTTAGGCCCTTCTGCATTCTTCCAGCATTGCCTTCCTTTGCATCTCTCTGCAGTTGGTTATGTAAGCTTCAAAGGAAGGCAATGCTGGAAGAATGCACATGGGCCTGTGTCATTTGGCTTTGATAGACAAATGCAGTGTGCTTTTTGACATCAGTTTCTGAGGCCATAGAGAATTTATCGCAGGCACAGTTGACCTGCATTTCACCTACTTCAGCTGCTTTTGCATTCCCACAGCTGCTGCTTTTTTTCTGTCCATAGGACTGTATAGACAGGATACACTATACAGGGGGGATATATGCCTGTAAACTCTGGCGTTTATACTCACACGGTGATCCCATGTGCATGGGGCCTAATAGATAAACAGTGTTCTTTAGGAGAATGCTCACTTTTCACCAGGGCCACCAATCACTGCAGCATTGTGGTGCCATTTAAGTGAACCGTTCCTACCATGAAATGGCCAGTTGGTTGTGTTTGCCTCCCAAGGGAAAGGTTCCCAGTCCTCCTCTGCCAGACAGTAAGCATTTTCAGATGGAAGTCAGCAATGGCAGCCTCTATATTTTTCGCCAGACAGTTTTACTTTAAGTTTAGGAAACTGGTACGCGGATAGATTCTCCATTTGCCACCCAGGAGTTTGAATAAAAAGGCTGCATGCTGGCGTAATGAAGTGTTTGATATTACACCAGCACGGAATCATAAACAGCGACTGACAGAGGAGGAGGACAAGTCTGTTCAAGAGCCGTTGTCTTGCGGCCTGTCTGAACGAGACACAGAACAATGCAGTCTTACCACCAGCTCTACTAGTTTAACCAACACAGCCCAATTCACTTGCTCTTTCCCAGGGCATTTTTCTCACGAGTCTCTTCACAACGTGCCTCGTCCTGTCCTTCACAATGCGAAAATAATAAAGGACCAGCACGCCAATATGACACTTTATTAAGCTAAAATGAAGTACCGTATTTTCATTGTGCAAACAATCTGAGTTATTGTTGCGGCATTAACCATAAAGAGGACCTGTGCTGTGCCCAGTGTGACTATGGGCCACTCTCCCTACCCCATGTGGAATAAAATGGCTGCTTTGCTGTGTTTGGGCGAAACATAGGCTGACATTGAAGTCATCTTTTTATATGACTTTCAAACACCAATTAATGGAGTCATAGATTCATGTTTATTAAGATTTTGTGCCTATGGGCAAATGCAGTTTACTTTCAGGTGCATGTTGACCCCCTCCTTTCGACCTGCAGTTCCTCCTAAGCTGCAACAACTTGCTTCAGGGTCGGTGCACACCTGGGCGATCCGTGACCGCGCAGCAATCGTGCAAAATACCGCGTGGTCACAGAGTCGCCCATCACCGACGATCGCGCTGTGGGTGCCTTTATTTTCTGATGGCACCCCAGTCGTGCCGGGCAGATCGCGCGGTTTCCTGCCACAATTCCACATGTGCATCTGAACAGCTGCGCGTCATGTATTGCAAAAAAGAAGGTACCTGTACTTTTTTCCTACGATTGCCGGGCGGATGTTTCCCATTGAAAACAATAGGGCCGCACAGCAATCACTGTCTTCAAGTGTACATGACCGCACAAGATCCCGGGACGCGCGTCGCGGATCATTCAGGTCTGCACCGGCCCTCAAGGCTACTTTTGCCTTCCCATTGACATGAACTGGAGGGAAAGCCAGCTCTAAGGTGAACAAAAGCACACAATGTTGATCTTTACATCAGTCTTTCTTTATCTCCTGGCCAACAGAAATCAGCCTGGGAGAGGAAGGGCTAGCCCAAGGAGCTCATCGGGCATTGCAAATTTCTGTCAATCTAACACTGGAAGCTTGTTGACAGGAAGTGATGATAAATCAGTGCAATCCCTTTCGGTTAAGTTAGGGGAACCTAGAAAGCCAACTATGCTGCCGTGCACTTGTGCAAGTGTGCCGCCTGGATGACAAAACTGGCTAAAATGAAAACCACATTTTTTGGCGTTCACCGGTTCCCATGTATGTATCTCAGAGACTCACCAAGTATTGAGGGAAAGGTCAGTATGACATCCCCAGAGAACCTTTACAAAACCAGTCAGCAATGGCATTTTCAATATTTTACTGCTGCAGCAAGTGGATGATCAAGTCAGCAAGACGTAGAACCTTACCTAGCACCTCCTTGTCATGGATCTCCTTCAGTTTGTGCAGAGCTTCGCTAAAGCTCTCATTCGCCATGTCGCTGTCTGCAGTAGGCAAGATCTGTTGCAATCATTTACTTGTCGCCCTGAAAACAGAAATATAAAAAATACTATTATTTATATGAGTACGTTCATTCTCAGAGCGGTCATTTCCAATGTGGGATCTTTGATGTAGAAACCAAGTAAAAAAAATAAACTCTATTCTCTAAATGATGACTGGATTGGCATAGTTGCCTTATCAGGACTGGAAATGTCAGTTCTGTGCTGAGATCAGTGTCAAGATCTCATCACTGAATGATCTGCTGACAGCACGGGGGCATACCATTTGTGCAGACTGCACAAGGGCCCTCTAAGACTTAGGGGGCCAATTGTGCTATATGTGGGTCAGATGGGTAGACTTGGACTTGGTTCGATCTAGCTATCAATCAATACAAAGTATTGGGGGTGCTCACAAATTGGTCTCTTATGGGAACCCTTGGATGACAACTAACTACCAATATACAGCTTTGCCTGAGCGGGGCCATCACACTGACAAATTTGTTTATCTTTTTTAATCATTTTAAACATTTTATATCCGGAAGCTTAATCTCTGTTGCTTTGTGCTCAAGTGCCGCTGACAAAGGAATGCAGCGTACTATGATAAATGACATGAATAGCAGCCGGAAAGCAATACAATAATTGATACCATTGGCTTGCATCTATTTGGCTCATGCACAAGTCAAGGGCCGGCCAGCTTCATAAGTGGGAGATTTTCAGGGTGAAGTGTGAATGAAGGAGCAGGGTCCACAGAAAGACAAGCTTGGATTTCTGGTTGTAGGGCTGTAGGGTGTGTAAAGCTGGGAGTTTTGGCTCCTTATGCAGCGCATGTCTCTTGACCCATTATACAGAAAACTTGTTATTTCAGTTCATGTTGACTGTCTGGTTGAACTTGTGAGCGCTGACGTTAAACTCCACCTCATATTGACACCAATGCCTAAAAAAGGTCAAACAGTCTGTATTTATTCATAATCTTTTCAATGCTTTTATCCTTGGGTTAATTAATCAGCTTTATAGGAATGATGGTCGCTGGTCATCCGATATGGTTGATTCGATCAAGTCCATGCCTCGTCAGTCACATGCCTATCCACTCTTAGGGGCAACAGCAATCAGAAATATTGGAAAATTTGTTTGGCTCTGATTTTGCCCTCCAAGATAGGACATGTCTTCTACCCCACTGATGTCAGTAGTAATGAACGCCAAGATAGGACATTTCTTCTTTCCAACCGATGTCACTAGTAATGAACGCCAAGATAGGACATGTCTTCTACCCCACTGATGTCAGTAGTAATGAATGCCAAGATAGGGCATGCCTTCTACCCCACTGATGTCAGTAGTAATGAACGCTAAGATAGGACATGTCTTCTACCCCACTGATGTCAGTAGTAATGAACGCTAAGATAGGACATGTCTTCTACCCCACTGATGTCAGTAGTAATGAACGCCAAGATAGGACATGTCTTCTACCCCACTGATGTCAGTAGTAATGAACGCCAAGATAGGACATGTCTTCTACCCCACTGATGTCAGTAGTAATGAACGCCAAGATAGGACATGTCTTCTACCCCACTGATGTCAGTAGTAATGAACGCCAAGATAGGACATGTCTTCTACCCCACTGATGTCAGTAGTAATGAACGCCAAGATAGGACATGTCTTCTACCCCACTGATGTCAGTAGTAATGAACGCCAAGATAGGACATGTCTTCTACCCCACTGATGTCAGTAGTAATGAACGCCAAGATAGGACATGTCTTCTACCCCACTGATGTCAGTAGTAATGAACGCCAAGATAGGACATGTCTTCTACCCCACTGATGTCAATAGTAATGAACGCCAAGATAGGACATGTCTTCTACCCCACTGATGTCAGTAGTAATAAACGCCAAGATAGGACATGTCTTCTACCCCACTGATGTCAGTAGTAATGAACGCCAAGATAGGACATGTCTTCTACCCCACTGATGTCAGTAGTAATAAACGCCAAGATAGGACATGTCTTCTTTCCCACTGATGTCAGTAGTAACAAACGCCAAGATAGGACATGTCTTCTACCCCACTGATGTCAATAGTAATGAACGCCAAGATAGGACATGTCTTCTACCCCACTGATGTCAGTAGTAATGAACGCCAAGATAGGACATGTCTTCTTTCCCACTGATGTCAGTAGTAACAAACGCCAAGATAGGACATGTCTTCTACCCCACTGATGTCAATAGTAATGAACGCCAAGATAGGACATGTCTTCTACCCCACTGATGTCAATAGTAATGAACGCTAAGATAGGAATTTCTTCTTTCCCACTGATGTCAATAGTAACAAACGCCAAGATAGGACATGTCTTCTACCCCACTGATGTCAGTAGTAATGAACGCTAAGATAGGAATTTCTTCTTTACCACTGATGTCACTAGTAATGAACGCCAAGATAGGACATGTCTTCTACCCCGCTGATGTCAGTAGTAATGAACGCCAAGATAGGACATGTCTTCTACCCCACTGATGTCAGTAGTATTGAACGCCAAGATAGGATATTTCTTCTTTCCCACTGATGTCAGTAGTAACAAACGCCAAGATAGGACATGTCTTCCCTCCCACTGATGTCAGTAGTAATGAACGCCAAGATAGGACATGTCTTCTACCTCACTGATGTCAGTAGTAATGAACGCCAAGATAGGACATGTCTTCTACCCCACTGATGTCAGTAGTAATGAACGCTAAGATAGGACATGTCTTCTACCCCACTGATGTCAGTAGTAATGAACGCTAAAGATAGGACATGTCTTCTACCCCACTGATGTCAGTAGTAATGAACGCTAAGATAGGAATTTCTTCTTTACCACTGATGTCACTAGTAATGAACGCCAAGATAGGACCTGTCTTCTACCCCACTGATGTCAGTAGTATTGAACGCCAAGATAGGATATTTCTTCTTTCCCACTGATGTCAGTAGTAACAAACGCCAAGATAGGACATGTCTTCCCTCCCACTGATGTCAGTAGTAATGAACGCCAAGATAGGACATGTCTTCTACCTCACTGATGTCAGTAGTAATGAACGCCAAGATAGGACATGTCTTCTACCCCACTGATGTCAGTAGTAATGAACGCTAAGATAGGACATGTCTTCTACCCCACTGATGTCAGTAGTAATGAACGCTAAGATAGGACATGTCTTCTACCCCCACTGATGTCAGTAGTAATGAACGCTAAGATAGGAATTTCTTCTTTACCACTGATGTCACTAGTAATGAACGCCAAGATAGGACCTGTCTTCTACCCCACTGATGTCAGTAGTATTGAACGCCAAGATAGGATATTTCTTCTTTCCCACTGATGTCAGTAGTAACAAACGCCAAGATAGGCCATATCTTCTACCCCACTGATGTCAATAGCAATGAACACCAAGATAGGATATTTCTTCTACCCCACTGATGTCAGTAGTAATGAACGCAAAGATAGGACAGTTCTTCTACCCCGCTGATGTTAGTAGCAATATACACCAAGATGGGACATGTCTTCTACCCCACTGATGTCAGTAGTAATGAACACCAAGATAGGACATTTCTTCTCCCTTACTTCGGTCAATAGTAATAAATGCCAATGCTCCACCAAGCCAGGCTCATCATTTATGTTCAGGTGAGCAACATGTTTTATATAGCTGATGCCTTCATAAACCTTCTATCCAATATCTGTCTTCACATATTAATTATCCACTGCTTTCTCCTTCATGAAAGGTTTGCAGCATTTGTATGGCCATATTAAATGCCAGAACAAAGGTCCAATTAAGCCAACCTGTATGATTAATTTGTTAGGCAGATTTTGTCCATGTTTTGGTACCTGGAATGATCATTCATTCCCAAAAACCTCCTGTTAAACTGTGCCAAACTCCTTCCTCCACCGGCCCAAGTGTTGTGACTATTGTTTCCTTGAGATAACTGGGCAGTGTAGGGACACACCTAACCAAGCATACATGAGTGCAGTGACTGCTTCTTATTGGTAACAGAGAATTTTCAACAGGAATTTTCGATGTTTATGAACTCTTGTGGTTTGCTTGCTTGTTAATCCCCCACAGAGTCCGGTCACACTGGTTGCAGGAATGAGGCGTATCTCCCAACTGTCCCTCATTTCAGGAACCATCCCTCATTTGGAACCCAATGCTTCTGTCCCTCTTTCCTCATCATTAAGCCCTCTTTTTGGTATTAAGTACCGATATCTATCAAAATGTTTTATGTAACTACCAACATTGTTATTCTGCACTAAAACCTTCCTCTTATCTCTTAATTACCTTGTTTGCTATTTTGAAAAGCCTTTTGAAAAGAAAAAAGTAATGGTGAAAAAAAACAACAACAATTACCGGTTTAAAGGACAACTCACGGAATTGATCAAGCTAACCCTTGCAGTGGGGCTACCCCAGCACTGCAAGGGTTAAGTGCTAATTTTGTCTGGGGGACTCAAATAAACCAGATATACTCAGCTAATCCTCGGTCCCGCGGTGGTCATCGCTCACTTCTCTTCCCCCCAACCTCCTCGGTCCGGCTGAATGGGCTCAGTTTTGCCCGGCAGAAATGTCCGTGGGATCCTTAGTGCATAGCTAGAATGGAAGGCTCCCTGCATGCAGAGCGATCCGTAATTCTGCCAATATAACCACCCGGAAAATAAACAGATTCCCTGCAGCAGAGGACATAGCTGAATCAATGCTGTTGTATATACAAGCGGCGCAGGCCTGAGACAGTAAACTCGTCCAGCATTAGGGTGTGACCCGTCTGCCGGGTTTCATTAGCAGGAAACCTGATGACTTCTCAAAAACCTTGCCGTAGAAAAGCACCCAGCACCGCACAATGGCAAACAGCCTGTAGGCCATGATCTTTGGAATATGATGCCATAGACTCCCATCATATATGCAAGAATTATACTGTACTAAAGCAGAACTCCAGCCATGACAGTCCAGTACACTTCAATACACCTGAAATGTACATATATGTGCTAAAATATGTGCAGTTCTGTGCAGGCGGTCTTTTGAGTCACAC